GTTTGTTGGACCTGTCTTTGTTCTATTGTCCGGGACGATAACGCATTTCTTTTGCATCGAATTCCTGGCCCAGCTGGCTGATTGAGCTGGGGCGGAGTTTTCCGGACTCTATATATATGGCCGGGGGTTCGCCACGCCTGTCGCTAGAGTGTCTGTTTGTTTCTAGCACTTCGGCCAAAGAAATCTCTAGTCAGTTTTCCTAGTGACTTGTTATCTTCCAATTATTGTTAGGATTTGCTTCTTTTAGAAGTTTCTTCTCTTCTCTCTTAGTTTATTCGCTCTTGCATTGCTTCCGTGTTGCGGACTTTTATTCGTCCTTGGAAGCGCAAGCTTTTTCCGGAGGTGTGTACCTCCTTTTGTGTTTGTCTCTTATCTGGGCTGCTCTTTGTTCTTTCTCTCACTGGTCGCTGCACCTGGCGTCCTATCACCGCCCATTACATTTGGATGTTCTGTTCCACATACTGCATATACTATGCAAGGGTGTTTATTTAAATTTGCACAAGTTTTGTTTTACTTTGTTTTTATTATTTTTGTTTCAATCCATCAGAAGGTATGAATATGCTCACAGGGATACAATTCCAGGGACATATGTTACTGATATTTTACTGGCTAATACATATCCTTAATTTCCAGCATCAGGAAGAAATGGACTGTGAGGGTTATTATTTATTTTGCATTTTTTTTCTGTTATCATAGTAAGTTTTTCAAACCTCTCTTTACAAACCATTGAAAAGTAGAATACCAATAAATAATCATCATCATCATCATCATCATCATCATCATCATCATCATCATCATCATCATCATCATTAAAATCATGATCATAAATACCATTTGACTTTGTGCACTGGGATTAAGGGCATTATCTTAGCCAGAGTCCCTAAACCCGTTATTTGGGGATTTAGCATTGCGTAAGAGGCGTTCCCCCGCAAAAGTTGCTATCTTGAACACCTGCCTATATCCCTAAAACACCTGCGCTACCCGTTATATTATGCATAGGCGTGGTTTAGGCGTTACGCCAGTTAAACCAATCAGTGTGCCAGGTGCTATTGCCTTTAAGAGCAGGCTGCGCTATCCCAAATCCTCAAACCGAAACCCGTGATGGAGAGAGGAAGGTCGCACGTTTCGCCAAAGACGAAGTTAATTGCTCGTGCATGAGGTCAAATCCAGACAGGGGAGGATCAAAATCCCATTTTAGAAAATACCCACAACCAAATAAATGCCAACATTGACTGCAACCATTTACACTTTTTTCTTTATAAAGCGACTTTGAGTATTTAATAAAACGCTATATGAATTACATGTATTATTACATTCTTAGTAGCCTACTGATCGCACAAATTACTTACCAGGCAGGCTGCAGATGACATGACTAGCGGTGTCGCAGCTCCGCTGCCAGCTGGTCCCTCATTGTCCCTGTTACTGCTGGCACTATATCAGCATTTTGAGTCGGCACCTGCACTTCAGTTTGCCGCCTTCTATGGTCCGGTAATAATCTATCCTCAAACTCCAGCATCATTCCATGGCGTAGGGTAATGTTGTGCAGCACACAACATGCCACAAAGAAAGATGCTACTTTCTGAGGACCATACTGTAAGACCCCACCTGACATGTCCAAGCAGCGGAACCGCATTTTGGGCACGCCAAATGTTCGCTCAATGACAACTCGTGTGCTTGAGTGTTTTCTATTGAAAGCGAACTCACGCACACTTGTTGGCGTAATGTATGACACCAGGCACCACGTCTTTAATGGACAGCCATTGTCACCCAACAGCCACCCATCCAGAGGGGGGTCTCTCTGGAAGACTGCAGGAATGACTGACTGTTTCATTATAAAAGCGTCGTGGCTACCTCAAGGATGATTTGCATATACATTCAAGATGTAACCCCATGCATCGCAAATCACCTGGGCGTTGATGGAATGGGTTCCCTTACAATTCACATAGGCGCCTCTGTTCAGAGCCGGAGCCCGAATCAGAACGTGTGTGCAGTCAACGGCACCCAGAACCCTAGGGAACCCATATCTTGCCAAAAAAATCCCGCTTTACCCTGCGTTGTCTCTCGGGTGTCACAGGGATGCCAGTGATGTACCTACAGGCATATCGGACTATGCTGGCAGTGACTGCAGTTATAGCCCAGCTTACGGCAGATTGAGTCATGCCTCCAATTGAGCTGAGTGGGTGTTGGAATGACCCACTAGCATAGAAAAATAGTGCCACAGTAACCCTAACAGCAACGGGCAAGGCATACGGACAGCTGGCAGCGGTGTCTACATCATCTGCAACCAGGTGACATAATTCTGTCGCTGCCTGACGGGAGAGGCGCAGTTTTATCACGCATTCTCGTTCTGTGGGAAATAATACTTGTATTGTATTATGATAATTTTAGAATATTATATATAATAAATATCATTAATATATATTATATATAATAATTATATATTATTATAAAAGTGGAAAAAATGGCTGATACAAAATACAAACAATATAGACTTACCTGAAAGGCCCAGGTAGCTGGTGCGCTGGCGGTACACGCGTTCTGGGCGTCTTCTATTATTTAACTGGCGATCAAGGCGATTTAGTACTATCTCTGCCATTTTCTCAGGGGTTCAACTGAGGCTAAAGCAAGGTGGCTTTTTATAGATGAGTTAATTCGGGAGGTGAGCCGCATGTGCACGTCCACATGTGTCCAAGTGGACGCACATTGAAGCCGCCTGGGCACGCTCTTGTAAAAGCCCAAATGGGTAGCGGGTGGTTTGAAGACCCGCTGTACGCTTTCCCTAACGTGTGTGGTCAAGATAGCAATTGTAGGGAAAGCACATAAACACGCCCACGGGCACACCTCCAGGCGCAAATGAAGGAGTCGGCATAGTGTATAGCGGGTAGTGTGGCCGCAAGATACCGTTTAGGGATAGTGGAAGCTGCTGAATGCGTAATTCACGGGTAGCGGGTAGTGGCAACGGGTAGGGCAGTGTGACAGATAGAGCCCTAAGTCTTCAGATATAAATCACCCTTATAATTTAATTTCCAATTTACGCATCTCTATCCTAGTCAAATAGCTATCATCTCTCACTCTCTTTTTGATTTCTTTCCAGGAGGTAAAGCTGTTTTCAAATACAAAGGTTTTTTTTCCAAGTGTTTGGTTTTATGAGAACAAGCTCTTCAAATGACATATGGAAACAAAACCATTCACCCAAACAAACCGGACCGGGAGAAAGATTGTAGAAAAGGACCAGTTTTCATCTTGATCTCGTTTCTCTGCCTCTCCCTTGCAGTTTCTCTTCGTAGATCCTCACTCAGCAAAGATGCCGCTATTAACCCTTCGGCAAATCACAACTACAACCCCTGAGAGTGTGTGCCTACTTAACCAATTGCTCTAATTTCCTTCGTCAAACAAAGGCCTGCCATACTTAAGTACAAAAATTAAATCAAATTTATGTGAAAATAAATTTTTTTCAACCACACTGATTTTTTACATACAGCTCTGAATCAAAATTCCACCTGAAACCTCTCATAAAAGCCCATATCACCATATCAATAAGTAGGTAATTTTATTCCCAGTTCAGTTTCTGTGTACAACTATTTTCGTGCCCTGTGTCATAGTCACAGTCTCATTATGTGGCCACCGCTACAGTATGCTGCAAATAGAAAGTCAGCAGGTCTCCATTTGAAATGGCAATTGTTTTCCTGTGGCGTGTTCCCCTTCCACAAGGAAAGGCAAAAACTGTCAGTCCATCACATGGAAGTAAAACTACTTACTATTCCTCTCTTCCGGGAGGGTTAACCTCACTTAGCTTAAGCAGCTGTTTTGGCCCAAGGTGGCTATTAAACCCTATGATGGAAGGACCCACCCTCTAACTATGGCCACCAAGGGACAGTCAGTATGGCAGCATAATACAAATGCAGCTATGTCTTTATCTGTCGAATCTAAACAACGACACCAGGATTACATTAAACATTAACATTATAACCGCAACGGAAATGATAAGTGGGACAATACATTACTATCTACCTGCTGGTACTTCACACTGAGCAACACTGCATCTTTAATCTACTGGCATCTCAGGGGAAATGCCTTAAGCTGCACAAGTGGAGCAAATTAAAGCTTTTTTCCCATGATCCTCTGTGCATGTGGTGCTCTGGTTGTACCCTGGGAGACACTCCTCTGTAGATTAGCATCAGGACCTGCAAACACGACCTTGCTGTGCCAAGGTCTTCCGGGCTCATATTGAGCTCTCAATCTCCGAAACGCTTCGCACAACCGGGGCCTGACTGTACCATTGAGTAATAAGCCCATCCACTTGAAGTCAAGGTTTAACTGTTTCCTGTTCAGTCTGTAACAAGTCCAAACAGAACTAGAATGTGTTTTTACTTGTAAAAACGTATGTCTACCCCCCGGCCCCCTTCCCTGCCTAACCCAACGGACGGACAGACAGACAGGCACATACCAAAAGGAACCAGGGCAGGACCTGAGTAGTAAGTATGCGAAGTTTCGTTAAGATCATTCAAACGGTTTTGGAGTTCCGGTATGGAAACGAAATGGGAACACCGATGCAAACGCGAACGGGAACCGTGCCTAAAACAATATGGCTCCCCTCTCCCTCCGGGGGGGAGACATAAATATACGAAGGGCATCATAATTTATTGAACAGAGAAACAGTTTGTATTTCGGTTCTGTATGCTTGTGAGACAGTTGAAGGGTTCTGTCACTAGAAATGCCTCCTAATAAGTACGCGCCCTGGCTTCCTTGCCAACGAGCCTGGCTCTTTGGCGATGTGATCAGTTTTTGGGTTCAATCCCCTGCCCGGGCCCTCCTTCGGCCTGCCACATTCTGGCGTAATTGGCAGGATCTGGGGGATCCTAATGGATGGCAGCATGCGTAAAGCATGGAGCGTGAGGACACGCTCCTGAAAGAGGGGGAGAGATGTGACAGTTGAACGGTTCTGTCACTAGAAATGCCTCCTAATAAGTACGCCCCCTGGCTACCTTGCCAATGAGCCTGGCTCTTTGGCGATGTGGTCAGCACGTTTGACTCATATCCAAGTGTCTGGGGTTCAATTTCCCGCTGGGCCCTCCTTCGGCCTGCCACACTTGTACTTTAAGTTTGAAAGGATTCATTTGGTTGCATATCTGTTGCGTGCAATTACTGTGTCTGTGATGCGTAGACATCACCAGACGCTGGGTATCTTTCCTGGTGATGCTCAGCCAGGCCTGTACTGCAGCCATCTTCAGTTCCTGCCAGTTTTGGGAACTTCTTGGCTTCAGTCTCCTCTTCTGTATGTAAAAATGCATGTTTAATTAGATTCAGATCTAGTGGTTGACTCAGCCAACAGAACCAAGACAACAAAAAATGAGTCACTCTCTAATGAAATGTGGTTCTCACTGCAGGTGGGAGGTTTTTCACAGGATTGCAGCAATAGGACCAAAATATAATGAGACAAATATATCAAATACATTAGCAAATTACAAATATACTGTATATCATGGAATGAACGAATGTGTAATTCTGACTGGCTGACGATCATACTATGTTTGTATGTTTATAAATGCTCATTAAAGCACACATTGTATGTGCAGCAAAGTTGCTCATCACAGCTCTACATTATGCCGCTGAATATTTCAAAAGACAGCTTTGCTGAATTACGAATTTCATAAGTTCCATATTGAAACAGCTGCCAACATGTGATGCATTGTTTGTTTTTAATGTATCCTGTGTTTCAGAGGCTGGCATTTAGCTAGATTACTGGTTGCCTGAAATCCCTTCCTTGCTAGGCTGGCACTGTCTTCATAGTTATGAGGCAAATCAGTCAACGAGACTAGGAAAGCGCTTTTATGACCAGTAGCGACAATCAAGCTGTTTTGCAGCAACTACTTAGCTAATAAGTAACATGTTCCTCTGGTTCATCAGAAGAGAGGACAATTTGTTCCAGCTTGGATCACAGGCAATTTCCGTGACTCAGTATCAATCTTTTCACCAATAGCAAACCAGCACTTCTTGCTTGTTGAGAGACTTACCCAACATTCCAGCTGGGCAATATAGATAAAATCGAGTATCACAATATTTTTAACCAACGCCTCGATATTAATATTGCAGAGATGTTGTACAAATAAATTTTGGTGCTTTCATAAAATATTTACACTAGAATATTTTTCATAAGCAGACAGTAGTAATGTGGATATGACGACCTAGCAGGTACAGGTAACAGCTAGTACAGTCTAATAAGTGTAGATGAGTGTATAAAACTATATAAACTCATTATAATGCAGCCTTCAAAACAGAAAAGACAACATGTCTGAAATATCACAATATTTTGATATCCAAAGCCCCATGCAATATCTTATTTTATATCACAATATTGGTATGATATTGATATAGTCTATTCCCCGGACCCCTCCCAACAGAGATTTTAAAATTTTTTTTTGCTTTCAGTCTTAACAAGTTTAGTGTGTAAAATAGATCACTATATACACAAATAATATCACAGGAGTTGAGCAATATAGTATGTTATACACAGCCATGCCATTATAGATCCTGAATATTGTTTAATGTAGTTTATATTGAATATTTATATTCAGAATGGAATGTTGTACATTGCTAATGCTAATAATTTTGTACTAATGTAAGTCCTATGCTGGTGTTTCTACCGTGGCTTGTTCTAGCATATTTGTGCCCGTGAGACAAGAGAAGCTTATAGCATTCTTGGCATAGCCAGGTACCAGCCAATCTTGGATTACATGTGATCTGCTTTCACAGCTCCAGAAAATGGCTGTGAGACTGTGTGTATAGGTCCTCACTAAACCTGTGGGAGTGTGGGTTTGTCAGCTATAATGTCCTCCTCACAGGCAGCTGCATCAAATGCCTGTGCCCTGCATTTCCCCTGGCATAAATGTACATAATCCATCAGTATCGTTTTTGTTCCTTCTGTTCTTCGTGGCATGTTTTGTACTGTGTATATATAGTACATTTATTTGGCCTGGACAGTAGAAGCTGACAGCCTGCTATTAATTATAAATGATGAGTTCATGGTTGATTAAAAAAAGTGTGTGTGTGTGTGTGTGTGTGTGTGAGAGAGAGAGAGAGAGAGAGAGAGAGGTGATGTGCATGCCTCAGTATAATCCACATTATTTTACGTTAATGTAAAGTCAAAATGTTATTTGGTGTTCTTTTTTCTATAAATCAGATTTAATAGCTCAGATGGAGTTCCACCTGTGTATGTAAAGGCATCTTCTATGTGGGTTGCTGCAGCTGGTCATATGTACCAGTATGCTCATGTGAAAATATACGTGTGCATATGCACCATGCGCAGTACCTGAGTTTATGCGTGTGTGTGTGTGTGTGTGTGTGTGTGTGTGTGTGTGTGAGTGTCTATGCAAGGCATAGTGTGTTGGAGGCAGTAAACTGTCATTTATTTAGAAGATCTTTTGGTCCACAAGCCAAAATAAGGCTGTTGCATCAATGCTAATTTAAATGCATCAACAGTCAACCATAACTCCTGCCACCCAGTAAAACAGCTTGGGAAATGGGTTTATACGCAACGAATCCAACTGAAGAAACGATGATGCATCCGCAATCAGTTCGCTAAATTCAAGTGACTCCGCCTGAGTTTCGAGTCTCTCATATCATCTAATTGAATCAGGCAGCCATAGCTGTCAATATTCCTGTCAATGTTTGAGAGTTTGAGATTTCTCACAGCGGAGGAGCAATTTGGGAGTAGAACCCTGATATGAGCAGCTATCAGCCGCATGTCACAATTGTGACATTTTGGAAAGATGACAGTCCCACTGAAATTCTGAAGAAACACATCCAAAGACCAGTAAAGTAAAGGAGGGGAGCTGGTCCAAAAAGAAAAAAAAAACTTATCACTAGGATCTGAGGTTAGTGGCTGGACAAGACGAGCATGGAGATCACATATTCATTTATGTCCGTATTTGTGTAATTGTGTTAACTCAATTCCTCACATTGTTTTATTATATGACTTAAGGATTCACTCTCTCCTGATTGGTCGAGGTGAGCTTCCCCGGTCACTGTAAACAGTGATATTCACCGCGCAAAAGTGAACCTCAACCAAAAAACAGATTAGGCTTCCCCGCAGGAGCTCCTGACAGTGTCCGTATTTTGTGTCGCTTCGTCCCTGTGAGGAGCTTTACGTTAGAATTGTCGCCCCTCTCTTATTTTATATTTTCAAGTGGGGTCATATAGTAAAACAGTTTTTGACTTCAGTTATCGGTTATTGGCTGCGCCTCGGTGAATATCACTTGTCCAAGGGGGATAAATCATTGGATTCACCTCAACTGAAGTCAATAATTGTATAATGCTGTATTGTGACCGCAAGCTCATTACATCACCCTGAAATCCCCCTGTCATTTTCAAAGAGCACTTGACAAACTTGTGTTGCTGTCACATCTTCCTCTGTCATCCAGTTCTTCACAGTGAAGAATGCTGTCGCGCTGTCCTGCCATTGGCCTTTGCTGAGTCTGTAGGCACATGACACATAGAACAGGCTTTCTCCCTTGACAATAGCGCTACATAGGGATGCAGCGCATATCCTGATGACTGGCAGATGGTGTGACCACGCCATTGTCGCCAGGCTGAAAATTACCACTGGCCCCACTAAAAATTTGATTCCGGACCAGAACCTGGGGCCTTTTGGCAGACACATTACCCGAGAGCCAAACCATTCTCCTCTCTGACAAACGATCTAATGGCTTCTGAAGAACGACAGAAGCAGAGCCATGGTCTGAAATTGAAATTAATTATCATATTAGGGATCTGCGGCAAACAGGAAATAAAACAGTTGTTAATTATCCGGCAAATCAGAGAGATTGTCTTTCACGCGCTCTTCGGCTGGAGAGGCATTGTCACGGATCCATTAGTTTTTCTACGTAGGCCCAGTGTTTGGAATTGGAATAAATCAAATATTAAAGGTTTTAATTAGGCACGTGCTGCCAAAAAAAAAAAAAAAAAAAAAAAAGCCCTAATTCATTCGGATGGAGAGCGCGTGACGAGGAACCCCTGCACTGAAATGTGAGAATTAACTTAACTAATTGGATTTGCCTGCTAAGCCTTGTTCGCAAGGGATGGGGGAGAAAATGCGGGAGAGTTATGGATGATCTCTGTATCACATTCAGGCCGCTGGAAGACGAAGGAGAAAAAAAGAAAAAATGGAATGTAAATCAGCCTTGTGTTTATCCTCCTAGTGGAGTGCTCATATGTGTCTCTCCTCTGGTGAGACAAGGGACAGAAACCTCCTCGAGACGGGGGCTGAACATCAGATGTTGAATCCCCAGGGTTGGTCAAGAATGAATTCGAGGTTATATATTATTGCTTGAGCTACTGTATTTATTTGCAGAGCTGAACTTATTCCAGGGCGACTTAAACAGCAGCATTTATTTCTTTATTTAGCCTTTCCATTTATATATAGCGGGATGTTTACCATAACCCTGGGGTGTAATGGCAAGAGAGAACTACCTGGGTTATCAGACTGCCATCTTCAGGTCAAAAGAGTAATTACCTCTCTGCTTCCCAATTTTGTCACCAGGTATTACATGCAGATGACTGGGAGGTAAGCCAGTTGTCATGCTTAGCAGCAACTACCATGAGGTTATGACATTGGCTCTTTCCCTTGAGAAAGTCTGTTTGATTCCTATCTGAAAATAATGTCATAATGGTGTTTGGCATCAGGATATCCCCGGAAACAAATCGTTCAAGTTTTCTGATGTTTCTCCTCCTATCACAGATGCATTCCCTGTTTTATTTTTTCTTGCTATGTAGAAGCTATTAAACAGGCTATTATTTGATAAAAGTGTGTTTATCTGCGTGTCGGAAATTAAATTGAGCAGACAAATTCTAATCCTAGCTGAAAAATTAGAATAGATGTGGTTAGAATAAGAACATGCTTCTTGGGAGCTCCAATTATTGTCAGTTTGATAACATTCTGAAATATTCAGTATCAGCATTTCATTCAGTTCATTGCTGCGGTACTAAATTAAATAACACATGGTTGGGGTCATGTATTGTATTATGGAAGTGGAATTCACATTGTGTTTATCCTGCTAGCCAGCCAGCGAATGTA